AGAGATTTGGTTAAATAGAACTCTTGCGATGGTAGTCTTACCAATCCCCGAGGAACCCCATATACCAACCATTCTCACCTCCTCAGATTCCAATTCCAACAGTACACTCATATTAGCAATATGATCTTCCATTCCGACAAATTCCTCAAGATCCTTTGATGTAGTCAAAAGCAGTTTAACCAAAATATCATTTACGATTTCTTCAATCAGTTTTGCTTCATTACCACTGGAGAAGAAAAAAAAACAATTTCAGAAACATGGAACAACATTTGTTGAAGATAGCAGAAACAGTGATTTTGTACAATCTTACCATGTCACCGAATAATGATATCCGAGGGTATTCGCAACGCTGGTCAAAGCCTCCCTCCATTGAATTTTCACCATTTCCTCTGTTTTGTTGTGGCGGCATGTCTTTTCAAAGATCACTCCAAAGTCACCGGTTTGTTTCCTCACTTGAGAAGGATCCAAACCGTAGAAAACCGGTATCACTGTCTGACCATACTCTTCCTTGCATTTCACGATCTCTAGCAATTCATTAAGGCACCAGCTTGAAATAGCATAGTTTTTGGAGAACACGACCACCGCGATCCTTGAATCCTTAATCGCATGTTGAAGCTCGGGATCAAGCGACTGGCCTCTCTCAATCTTGTTGTCTCTGAAAGCAATGATCAGTTTTCTTTCAAGCTCCTTGAGAAAGTGGCTCAAGAAAGTTCGGCGGACGTCTTCCCCGCTAAAGCTCGGGAAAACGTCGTATAGCCAGTTACGAGGAGATGAGGAAGAAGAAGCCATTAGGCAAAGAAAAGCATAACTTTCTTAAGGAAAAACTTCATATTCTGTTTTTATGATGATGGAATGTATATTATCTAAGTAGTTGCTAGAATCTGTAAAGAGAAGAAAGCCAACGCATTACCTCAGAGCTAGTAGCAATAATGGTTGGTAATATAATATTGGAAGTTTCGTCGAAGAAGAGTGACTTTGATTAAATATTTTCCCCACGCATACTTAATTTAACAATGAAGCATCATTTTTATTTTAAAATCTTAGTAAGAGTATAAAATTTCAAGTAGGGAGATATTAAATCTTAATATATATGATATCATGATGTGGCTAGTAAAAAAAGTGATCCAATTTGAATAAGTGGCAGAAATCAAATCTTCAAAACCCTCAACAATCAGACCTACAGAGAGTTGTGTGTTATTTCACACTTTGTGATAAAGCAAATGACGAAACAGAGCAATTAGTTTCTTGTGAAAGAAGTAACAATAAACATAGCTACTGACAAATCTTATTAGCTTTTTCTATAACAGTAACACTAAAAGCTTTGTCCTTCAGTAATGTGCTTGTGTTGACCAACCTATTTATTCTGTCAATGCCTCGCAGTCTGAAAAGCCAACTTCCTTCAGATGTTTCAGTAAGAATTGTTCAGAGGTACACATTGTAATTCGGTGCATTCAGTCATTCAGTGGTTGCTTGAGGTTGAAGCAAGCAAAAAAAAAACCTTGAAAAAAGGGCGAATGAGCTGGTAAGAAAGGGAAGACGAGGAAGTGATTGCTATTGGATGATCTTGAATGCTTACACACATATATTATACTTGCACCATAACAATTTTGTGAATACACATTTTAAATTGAAAAAAAAAAACACAACACAAACATAATCTCACACACACAGAGTAATAATTTCCACTTGATTTTTGTCAAATGTAGCATTCCATTTTCTATATCTATTTCAAGAAGAAACGCAGTGATCCGCCGACAATCCTTATAACACTAATCTTTACAGATTCGCAGCTTCTGTCTTCTTAGCCCGCGGCCTAGGTGTC